GTTAAATATATTATAATCAATATATATTATATTTTTTATTTTTTTACCATTTTGTTTGTATTAGTTAATATATTATATTATTAGAGATTTGTTTCAATTATATTTTAAAATATTATAATTGATTAATTTTTTAAGATGTCTTTTTTTGGTTATTTTACATTATTATCAGCTAGTTTTGTCAAAAATGATTTATTCCTAAGGTTAGCTATTAGCTACCAACTAGCTTATCAGGTAGTTTGCCGAATATAACCTTAAATATCATTGACTCATTTAGTAATAATAAAAAATATATGTTTATATATAATAATTTATATGATATAAAGATTTACCGTTATAAGTCACGTTTTGAAAAAATACAACGATCTCACCTTGACTCCTAAACTAGAAACTTGATATCAACGTCAAGTCATGACTCACGCCATTTTTAACCTTGATTAAAACCTTTGATCTCTGGGGCTTTTTGACAGTTGCTGAATGGTTTTGTACAGAATCATTAAATGGTTAGAATGATTAAGAGGCTCTCATGATATAATGCAAAATAAAAATATAAATTGTTTGGTAATTATTTACAATGAAATTAAAGCTCTGAATGGTTAACGAAGACCCATAATACAAAATCATTAAAAAATAATTTTTTTTACCAAACAAAATTCACCTTTTAATAATTCAAAAATTACCTCTTAATAAAACCATTAAAAAATGAACAAACAACCCATCCATCCACCCATCTCTTTCATTTGAGAGGTTTACAATGCATTGATTGAAGTTATAAATGTCACGGTTCTAAGAAAATAAAATAATGCAATTTTGCTTCACGATCACTCCACTTTTACTTTAATCGAACTTTTCCTTCTTGGATCCTTAAACCCACACACAGTGATCACACCCACAAACCCCCCGTGATCTTCTTCAACCTCTCCATCCCCATTTTCACACACACACACACACACACACTTCTGCGTATTCTTCCAAAACCTTCACCAATGTCTGCAGTTTTCCCACTCTCTCTTCTAACAATCAAATATCATCAACCACGAATTCAAAACTCTTCATCTTTAACGTTATTACAATCATTCCCACTTCCAGATTGTTCGTCATTTACTTCGATTCGAAAGAAGGCCTCCATTAATGGCTGCAAATCGATAACACGAGCTTCGAATACCGCTACTTCACCTGTGACGATCGAGAAAGATGTAGCAGACGGTACTGTTTTCGTGATTCGGGTTCAGGATCAGATGGGTTTGATCCAAGGGATTACTAGGGTTTTGAAAACCATTGGGTTTAAAATCGAGAGAACTACGGTAGAATTTGATGAAATTGAAGATTATTTTGTGACAATTAAGTTTCTAGTTACCGATTTGCATGGGAATCAGATTGACGATAATGAGAGTTTGATGAGAATTCAGAATGTGTTGATGGAAGCCATTTATGGCAGTGGAACTGTGGTGAGAAAAGCAGGGTATTTTGGGGAAAAAGAAGAACATATGTTTGGATTGATGGATGGGTTTTTGAAGAATGATCCAGTGAGTCTTCAGAAAGATATTCTTCATCATGTGGAATATACAGTAGCAAGATCTAGATTCAGTTTTGATGATTTTGAAGCTTATCAGGTAAAGACTAATAGTTTTTGAGGAAATTGTCCAAAATAGCCATTTTAGACTCTCTGATTCATTTTATAGCAGTTTTTCTGATCAGTTGACCGAAATAGTATATAAAGTATCAATTTAGCAAGTTGTTAAAGTGCTACGTCCGACATGGCAAGGAACAGGAACACTTTAACAGCCTCCGAAATCTACTTTTTATAAATATAAAATATTGCAAGTTGCTAAAGCGGCACTTCCTTGTTGACATTTCGCAATTAGCACTTTAGTAACAACAAAATTGTTAACTTATGAATAGTATATTAAAAAAATATGGATTTCACATGTTGATAAAGTGCTACTTGTAAAATCTTGGCCATTTTAGTCGACCGGTTAAAAAGGTGGCTATAAAAATGGCTATTTTGGACAATTTTTCTAGTTTTTTTTGGGCGATTTGATGTAATAATGGGCAAATGGTGACCCAAAAAACATTAGCTATTTTATGCTTTCTTGAAAAAGGAAGGTTGTAGCATACTTTATCTATTTAAATTATTCTATGACAGTGTTTCAAAAGGCTTATATGAACCCTAAAGCTTTCATTATCTTTGATATAATTGATTCCATTTTCACCATATAACTTGCTCTACCCTTGGATAAGAGGACAAATCTGCCGACATCCTACCCCATACACTACTTTCTAGTGGGATATACTGGTTTGTTTGTTTGTTTGCAATGTACTTGTATTTTTAAGAAGGCCATTCTTTTGGGAAGTAATATGATCTCCACCGGACATAGGTAACGCTTTAGCTAGTAGATGAAAGTATATTCGGGAAATACTTACGTCCACTCCTCACCTTTGCTAAGGTTTGAACCGTTCACCTCTTAAGAGACTGTGTTCTACCGGTAAACCTGGATACGGCTGGGCCAATGACCCTTGGTTAAGAAAACCACTCTTGTAGATTGGACATGTGACCTTTTGTTGATAATGTGTTTAGCATAAGGTATATGGAAATATTTTCATGATAATATGTGCAGTGGGATTTACCGGGTTCGTTTGGTTTGATTTGCAGGCGTTGTCACATAGTGTGAGGGATAGATTAATTGAGCGCTGGCACGACACCCAACAACATTTCAAAAAGAAAGATCCTAAACGTTTATACTTCCTCTCTCTTGAATTTCTAATGGGCAAGTATTTTCCTCTTTCTTCTTCGCACAACATCTATTTAGTAATCCTCCTTTTACTTCTTTCTTAAATATCGAGTAAATGTAATTGTTTTTTCTCCTTTTGTTCACCGGATATTTTAAAATGCATGACCTTTTGACGTATTTTGAGGCATTCTTGTGTTAGATATAGACATTCTTCTATCAGACAGGCGCTTTTTTAAATCTGTTAGAAGGTCATTCATTTAAAAAAAAAGATGTAAGAAGGTTATTCTCCTAAATAACCCTCCCCTCTCCAACAAGAACGAATGTTACTTTTGCCTCTTCAGTCGAACTATTTTCTATCTCTTTTTATGTATTCATGTTTCATTACACTATTAAGTTGTTTTTTCAGGTCGTTCGTTGTCAAATAGTGTTAATAACCTCGGTATTCGGGATCAATGTGCTGAAGCCTTAAACCAGCTCGGGTTTGAGTATGAAGTTTTGGCCGAGCAGGTTAGCTAATTGTATGCTGACGTGGAAGTGTAACTTTCATCCTCGTAGAGACGTTATGCAATCTTTTGAAATTGGACTTTCATAGCAAACAACCTGTTCCTCTATTATCCATCGATTGCCATATTTTCATGCATTATGAGATGTAAACTAGGTATCTAAATGTTTGAGATGTCGCATCTGAGATACCAAAATGAAGGCTTTGAATATTCGTTACACAAACTAGGAATCAGACCAAAGTTCGTTGCATTGTTATACTTCTTTTTTGTTCTAGTATTATTTTTGAATTTGTTGCCTGCATATTGGATACTTATTCATATATGAATGCATAAACTATTTTTGTTATTTCTAAAGGAAGGAGATACGGCCCTTGGCAATGGTGGCTTAGCCCGCCTTTCTGCTTGCCAAATGGATTCTTTAGCAACTTTGGATTATCCAGCATGGGGGTAACATTTGATTCTTCATCTGGTTCCTATTAATTTATAAAAATAGTAATTCATGTAGGCATTTTTAATTCACTAGTTAGTGTAAAAATTGAACATCAACCAAATGGTTTCCTGGCAATCCTTGATGTGAAAAAAGGGCCGAGTAAGAGAGTTTTTCCTTCTTTACCAAGTCAACATCTTGGTCAACGTCATTTGTCGGTCAGAGTGTATGGTAAGAAACATCACCTGTATGAATAAAGCGTGTGGATTAATATATTGTATAGATTGTGAAGGTTATTTGTTCGGGAGGGTTTTTTCACAAAAGGAAGGGCGTGTAGTTTAATTGGGATGGATAGACTTGGAAAAAACTTGGCTTTCCGGATAAAGCTTCCCCCTAGAATCCTACTAAATAAGCCAATTGATATATCATTAAACCACTACCAAACAATCATGTATAACTGACCAAATAAGCTGTGAGTCCCATTAAGCTCATTAAGTTGCTAAAAAAGGCCCCAAGTCTCTTTTACCCGGTAAGAGGTGGTCGGCAATTTTAAACATCCACCAAGTGTTGGAGTACCACATCGTACAGACTTGGACCATTTCTTCTCAATATATGTTGCAACCTCCCTTCTCTCCTCAAATGCTCTTTTGGAGAGTAATCAAATGGGGTTCCACATATTCTCACATTAAGGTCATTTTCCTCTGATATTTCAGATATGGACTCCGGTACCAATATGGGCTATTTCGGCAGATAATATTGGATGGCTACCAGCATGAACAGCCTGATTATTGGTTGAACTTTGGAAATCCATGGGAAATAGAGCGGGTCCATGTATCATATGCTGTGAAGGTCTGAAAGTTCTTATTTATCTTTTTTTCAAATATACTTATTATACTTCTATATCGATTTATTTACTCCTATTTATTTCGTGCGATAATTCTAAATTTCTTTTACTGGTCACTGAATCAGTTTTATGGGACCGTAAAAGAGGAGGTTGTGAACGGAGAGAAATGTAAAGTTTGGATTCCTGGAGAAACAGTGAGTTATTTCCCCTATACAAAATTTGCTTCAAGTTCTAAGCATACCATAAACATATACATATACATATATATATATATATATATACAGAGAGAGAGAGAGAGAGTCTACTTCTACAAACCCAATAAATCGCACAAACTTACAAACTAGTTTTCATGTTTTGTTTCATATATGAAGCAATAGGTGTGAAAATGCAGTGTTTATATAGTGTTGTTTTCTATGTGAAGCGTTCATTCGTTCAAGACTGTTTTTATTTCCACACACAAAAAAGTCGTGAACGTTTCACATATGAAACAACACTGTGTGCACACTGTATTTTCACACGTGTAACACATGAAAACAGGTCGTTAAGTTTGTACGATTTATTGGGTTTGTAAATGATTATGTGTGTGTGTGTATATATATATATATATATATAGAGAGAGAGAGAGAGAGAGTGAGAGAGGGAGAGGTTTAGGGGAAAACTCTAAAAAATTGAAAAATTGAGGAACACTCTGGTATATGGACGGTATGCACATGTGCATACAAGTAATCGAAGCTGTCTTTTGGTTTTTATGCACGTGTGCATGTTATGCACATGTGCATAGCGGACAAAATGCTTACAAATTACTTGTATGCACATGTGCATACTGTCTAGATGAATGGTTACCAAGGTATTTCTCAGTTTTTCATTTTTTGGCAGTTTTCCCCCTGACTGTATGTGTGTGTGTGTGCATTCTTGCATCTGATTTTCTCCCCCTTCTTTTGTAGGTTGAAGCTGTTGCTTATGACAATCCTATACCTGGTTATGGAACAAGAAACACAATCAATCTCCGTCTATGGGCTGCTAAACCGAGTGATGGATATGATATAGTGAGAATGTTGAAGCTTTGTGATTCTTTCCTTTTATGTAGGTTTGAATATTTATTTTATTTAAATTATGAGTTCAAGTGTCGTTTTTATTGCAGGAGTCTTATACTACCGGAGATTATATCAATGCTATCGTAAATAGACAAAAAGCAGAAATAATAAGCAATGTCCTATATCCCGATGACCGTTCTTATCAGGTAGAAAATTCACATCTACAATCCGTGTCCGTCTTTAATTTGTTGGAGGGGGGCGTGTCGGAGTCCCACATCGGCTAGACTTGGACGGTTGGACCCTTTCCCCATAGAACATGTTGGAAGTTGGAACTTCTTTTCGAGGGGAAATTGTCCAAAATAGCCGATCAGGCCTCCCATCTTCACTTTATCGCCACCTTTTCAAGAAATTAACCGAAATAGCTGGATATGATGCAAGTAGCACTTACAAAACTTGTAACCCACTTTTTCCAATAAAATAATGAGAAAAGTTAGATACGCAAGTAGCACTTACGCAACTTGCGCAATATCTAATGTTTCTGATTATTTTATTGGAAAAAGTGGGCTACGCAAGTAGCTTAAGTGCTACCTGAGTAATCTTCGGCTATTTCAGTCACAATGTTGGAAAGGTGGCTATAAAGTGAAAAAGGGAGGCCTGATTGGTTATTTTGGACAATTTCCCATTTTTTTGGGAGTAATTTAATGAGGTTCTACATATTCCCACAAATGTTTTATATGTTATTTATGAATCTATAATTCCATGTTTATGAAGTATTTAACGACTCTGAGCTTCTATTTTCAGGGGAAGGAGCTACGACTAAAACAACAATATTTCTTTGTCTCCGCATCATTACAAGATATTATTCGGAGGTTCAAAGATGATCATGGAAACTTTGACAACTTCCCAGAAAAGGTTGGGGATTCAATTGCTCGTATCTTTGCTATATTTATTTATTTATGGTAAAGCACACATCAGACTTTCTTGCTTTTTTTGAGGTATAGCATATTTATATATGGCAAGAAGGTTGGGATCTACTCCTAACCTGAATAATGATACTCCTTGGCAATTGACCCCTTGGTGCTATGCAGGTTGCTTTGCAGTTGAATGATACCCATCCATCTATTTCAATAGCTGAGCTTATGAGGGTGCTTCTTGATGAAGAAAAATTGGGTTGGAAAAGAGCATGGGATATTGTACGCCAAGTCTTTTCTTTTACTACTCACACAGTACAACACGAGGCATTGGAAAAGGTCCCTGTGGACCTAATGGAGAGCGTTTTACCCCGCCATCTACAAGTGAGTTATCTTGCTGAAACTCTTTAATATGGGCACAACCTGCCTTTTTTCTTGAGTATATTATATATAAAGTCAGGTTTGGGGAAAACCGCAAAAAGATGAACAATTGAGGAACACCGTGGTATCCCTTCATCTAGACTGTTTGCACATGTGCATACAAGTAATTTGTAAGCAGTTTGTCCGGTATGCACATGTGCATAACATGCAAACGTGCATAAAAACCAAGAAACTACTTCAATTACTTGTATGCACATGTGCATACCATCCAGATAGGTGTTCCTCAGTTTTTCATTTTTTTAGGGTTTTCCTCTGAACCCCATTCTATATATATAGCAGATACTCCATGCACACTCCTCGTATTTGTTGAGGTTTGTACCCTTAAGCTCTTGGGAGGCTAGGCTCTAACGATAACCCAGGTACCGATGGGCCAATGACCCTTTGGTCACAATATGGCAACCATTATCGCATTATGTGAATTTATCATTATATTGGTTACTTTTGCACAAAGGGATCATTTTAATTCGTATAAATCCTGAATATAATTCTTTTCTATTGGTGACTGAAAGAATGTTTATCTTTTCTAATTTATAATTCTTCTGATATCTTTTTTCCAGATTATATATGATATAAACTTTAAGTTCATGGAGGATTTGAAAAAGAAGATAGGACAGGACTATGCCCGCCTGTCTCGGATGTCAATTGTTGAAGAAGGTGCTGTCAAGGTATCCAGAACCCTAAGAGCCTGTTTAATTTGACGTAATGTTTTTGAGGGATTTGGATTTCGTGGAAGGATTTGGAATCTTTGGTCTGTTTGATTTGTAGGAGATAGAATGGAATTGAATTCCATTCACAAAATTCTTTATGAATAATTTATAAAAATAACTAAATCACCTTTTGTATTAATTGATTATTATTACAAAACAAGTGTTTTTAACATATTTTAAAACATTATTACAAAAAAGTCCTATGAAATCCCCAAAATACCAACTTCCCCCATTGGATTTCTAAATCCCGTGTTTGTGGGATCTCAATTTCGGACTTTCCTAAGGTTGTGTAGTTTCAATATCTTGGTTATGTTTTTCTTGTACTTGCTACTATTTATATTGTTGTTGCTTGCTGATATCTAGTTTTTAAGAATAAAGCATATCCGTCTTTCTCTCTGTCTAGTTGTATTGCTATCCTCGTATCTAGCTTTTCAAATTTTAGGATATATGTATTTCTCCTTTTCACTAGCCGGGGGTCTTCTAAATACATGGACTGCCTGCTTATACGTTTTGAATTGACAGAATATTAGAGTGGCGAATTTGTCCATTGTTTGTTCTCACACCATTAACGGAGTCTCCAGAGCTCATTCTGAATTGCTAAAAACACGAGTATTCACGGTAAACCATATTACAATGCATTATATATATATATATATATATATAGAGAGAGAGAGAGAGAGAGAGAGAGAGAGGGAGGGAGAGAGAAAGGGAGGTTCAGGGGAAAACCTCCAAAAAATGAAAAATTGAGAAACACCCTAGGAATCATTCATTCATCTGGACGGTATGCACATGTGCATATAAGTAATTGAAGTTGTTTCTTAAATTTTATGCACGTGTGCATGCTATGCAAATGTGCATACCGGAAAAATTGCTTAGAAGTTACTTGTATGCACATGTGCATACCGTCCGGATGAATAGTTACTAGGGTGTCCTCAGTTTTTCAATTTTTTTGCGGTTTTCGCTTCAACCTGACCCTATATATATGTATATTTCTTTTTTAGATATTCATTTTTTGAATATATCCTTTTGAAAAACCATTCATCTTAAGAATAAACTACTTTAACCATGCCTTAATTGCAGGATTTTTATGAGCTATGGCCTGAGAAATTTCAGTACAAGACAAATGGAGTAACTCAGGTAGATTGTTTTCGACAAATAGTAAATGTCCACAATAAAAAAAAGCACATAGTTTTCGAAATATTTAGTTATTAAACGTTTTAATTAACTAAATGATAGTTTTACCCTTAGTACTAGAGGGAGTAATGAATTTCTCCATCTCATGATTAAGGGTAGCATTGGAAAGTAGACACTTACTTTTGAAGTGGACTTCTTTTTTGAGTAGCCGTGGGTATTCGGGCCAGCTTACGTGCACCAACCAATCCCCCCGGCGACCACAAATGGCCTGGAGTCATAGTGGGTAGTGGCAATCCCATCTTCCCCAGGTTTGCATCTATAACTACAAAAGGAATCCCGAAAAGAATTTTCTTTTTTGTCATCTTTTACATTTACTTGAAACCATTTCCAAAATACCACCTTGGGCCACTGGGGATTTTCTTGTTTGTTATCTTCATAGACCCACGGGATTAATCGAGATGTGCAGAAGCTAGCTCAGACATCCACGGTTACCAAAAGTAAAAAGAAAAAAAGCCGATTACAAGTGAAACACCATTCCGCTAAAGTGAAATCTAAATACTAAAATGGACAGGCTAACTTCGTTTATTTACTTCAGCGTCGATGGATCGTAGTAAGCAATCCTTCTCTATGTGCTCTTATCTCGAAGTGGCTTGGAACAGATGCTTGGATTCGTGATGTTGACCTATTAGCTCGTCTCAGAGAGTATGCATCGAATTCTGACCTACAAAAAGAATTGCAGATGGTAACTTGATGTTGAGATTCTACGGTTTCTTGGCGATTTGCTTTTACTGTGTTGATTAATGTGGTGTTTGCCAAAAACCGATCTTTTTGGTGTTCAGGTGAAGAAGGTCAATAAATTGAGGCTTGCTGAATACATTGAAACGATGAGCGGAGTGAAGGTTTCAAATAACTTATTTATCTTTGTATAATTTTGATGTGAATCTTGTTATGCATTTGGTACACGGACTGGACGGACGAGACAAAGGTAGGTGGGTGAAAGAATTCTGGAAGGTTTTAGAGTTTTAATTTGATATGTGTAGTTTAGTAATTTACCGATCTTGTCCCTATCTCCCCAGAAAAAAAAATGCATTTTATCCCACTCGGGTCGTGTACTGTCGCCAAACGTGGGATAACAAGTTATGTACTGTTTTGTCCTGTCTTGTGTACCAAACGCACCCTAAGGGCTTAGGTGTGTTCTTACCCAAAAATTTTAAACCGCAATTGCAGGTTAGTTTGGATGCAATGTTCGATGTGCAGATAAAGAGAATTCATGAATATAAACGACAATTGTTGAATATATTAGGTGTTATTCATCGATATGACTCCATAAAGGTATCAATCTAGTTTATATTTTACTTCTTTTCAGTCATATTTGCACAAGCCGAGGTCTTCTCAGAAACAACTGCTCTACCATCAGGGGGTAAATGTCAGTTCAGACAGTTCTGCATACATCTCACCCCTCTCAGACCCTGCTTTCTAGCGGGATATTTGTTTGGTTTCTTTTGAGCCATATTTGAAGTGAAAATATTTTCCCGTCTTCTCTAACTTAATTGTAATTTATAAGAATATGGAGAAAAGTGAAAGACGGAAAGTTGTACCTCGTGTTTGCATAATCGGAGGGAAAGCTCCTCCTGGTTACGAGATTGCAAAGAAGGTCATCAAGCTTTGCCACGCTGTTGCAGAAACAATTAACAACGACAGTGATGTAGGGGACCTCCTTAAACTGGTAAACTAGCCACAATTCTCGGTATTTCTTTATTCTTCTAGTGGGCTGTACGAGCTTTCTGGTAACCATGGGTGTCTGGCCAGCTTGTGCATATGTCAACCAATCCCATGGGGCTCTGAAGATAACTGCCAGGCCCAGAGGAGACTCGGGGCCTGTTTGTTAGCAGCTTAATGAGCTTAATGGGACTCACGACTTATTCGGTTAGCTATACATGACTGTTTGGTAGTGGCTTAATGATGTAGAAACTGACTTATTCCATAGGCTTCTATGGGGGAGTTCCAAACCTGTCATCCTCAATTAAGAAACATGTTCATTCCATCTATGAAAAACCCTCCCAAACAAAAACCTTCCTAATCTATACAGAGAGATTAATCCACACAGACAACTTTATCCATTCAGGAATTAACGGAAAATCATCCAAATCTCAGCCAGGAAAATCCCCAGTGACCCTGAGGAGACTCGAACTGGCGACCTAAGGGGAGGAGCCCTAAGGTCTAGTCTTTATTTGCTGGTTGAGAGCTGCTTGATCTAATCTTCTATTGAAAATAAGCATTCGTGCAACTCAACGCCAATACTTGGGATAAAGTCTGAGTCGGGTTTCGTTTCTCTTGCAGGTTTTCATTCCCGATTACAATGTTTCTGTTGCGGAATTAGTTATTCCTGGAAGTGACCTTTCACAACACATTAGGTCCGTATTTCTCAATGCAATTTAGGAGTAATATTGCAAACCTGTCACTTAAGTTTCATGGAAGTAGATCCAAAAATATGTATCCGTAGTCATGTACCAAGTATTCCATCCGATGAAGCTTGCAAGTTCCTTTTCTAGAAATCCCAAGAAAATTGCAACAGTTCTTTATTTTTGGAAATATTTCCAAGTTAAAAGTATGTACTTTCCCATCCGGGCAAAATGCAACGAAGCAAATTTTGCCTTGGTTCCTATTCAGTAATTTTTTTCTCAATCAATGTAACAAAGTTTCAAATATCCATATTCTTTTATACATTTTGACCGGTAACCTGTTGATCTTGTAAAATATGATGACATGGATGTCAAGTTTAGTCCACTTAGCCGAATCCCTTTTAAAAACAGGTATCCATGTCATCAAATGTTACAAGATCAGCCGGTCAAAATGAGCGAATAGTAAATCCAGAACTTCTGTTATAAAAAATTATTTTACACTAAATATGAACTAAACCAAACTTTGTTGCATTTGTGATGCATTTTGACCTTCCCATTATTATAATTATTGATAACTTTATGGTAATGATTAGCTCTAAAAATTGAAAGGGTATTTTAGATATTTGACAAATAGTGGATTTTCTAAATCCACATTCCGAGTTGAATACTACGATATTGCAGTAGGGTGGAGAAAGTTCGAAATAGACATCAGTTCTTAGTACCATATTGTTTGGAAGTAGTTTTTAGATATATTTGTGCATTTTTCTATGCAGCACCGCAGGACATGAGGCATCCGGGACCGGAAGCATGAAATTTCTAATGAATGGATGTTTGTTGCTTGCCACAGCCGATGGATCCACGAATGAAATTATTGAAGAAATAGGTGCAGAAAACATGGTAACTCCAAATCTATTATAAATCTGATCATTCGTTTGCTTTTACAAATCCCTGTGTAGGTTAATCCATCCGTCCCAAAATAAGGGTCCACATTTCCATTTAGTTTGTCCAAAATAAATGTCCATTTCCCATATCTACTCTTGATTATGAGATGGAGAAATTCATTCTTCTCTCTGATATTATGGGTAAAATTGTCATTTAGTTACTCACTCCGTCCCAAAATAAATGTCTACAATGAAAAAGGCACATAATTTTATAAATATGTAATAATTACATTTTCTAATAAACTAAATAATGTTGTAAGGTAAGTGTGCCATCGTCCAAAGATATGACGATAGATATATCAAAGTTAGATTAGAACCGAAATATCGTGTAGTTAGATTAGAAATGAAATATTTCATGGTTATCTAGTTGTAACACATCCCTATATAAAAAGGGCTTATAATTAATGAGAATTGATGGGTTCCTTTTCTTTGTTCATAATTGTTATATTTCGTTTTTCCTATAACAAATAACAATTTTTTCTTTAATGGATAATGTATTTATTCATCATAATTAAGGGTGAAATTGGAAAGTAGACACCTATTTTTGAAAGTGGACACTTATTCTGGGACAAACTAAATAAAAATATGGACACTTAATTTGGGACGTAGGAGTAATTTAAAAGTGTACTAATTACACATTTCTATAACAGTGTATCTTTTTCATTGTGGACATTTAGTTTTGGACGAAGGGAGTATTTGGTTGTTCAAAGGCCGAGTTGACAAGATTCTTTGTTTTTCTATCCACAGTTTATATTCGGGGCAAAGATCAATGAAGTCCCAACATTGCGTGAGAAAGGATCTACCGTTAAAGCACCCCTTCAGTTTGCACGGGTTGTGAGGTAAGAACGGCTTTACTAGTTTGAATTCTATTGAAAGGAGATTAAATGCTTTTTTTATGAAAATGCAATATTTGACCATTCAGGTAGTTTTGTATTTGACTATTAGTCAAATATCTAAACCAGTCATTCGATAAAGAACAAAATAGGGCACCAAACAAATGGGTAAACTAGAAAATTTAGAATGAAGTTTTGTCAAAATGGGAGTGAATTGTGTTATGTATTTCTCTCTATGTCACATATTTCACAAGCTGATGGTTTTCATGGAAATAACTGTTCTATTATTTGGGGTAGAGGTCAGGTCTACATATATCTCTTACCTTCCCCACACCCCACCTCCATGTGGGATATATATATATATATATATATATATATATATATATATATATAGGGGAGCGATCAAATGAAAACCACTCAATTTGTAAAAACCTCATTCAACCAATCATAATTTTTCATTTTGTTCATTTTTTTGTAATTATGAGAGGTTGATTAATCATTTTTATTGTGGATGGTGTTAATCATGAAGATTATCATCTTCATTATTTAATTTTAGAGAAATACATGAAACTGTTTCATTAAAATTTCATTAAGTAGTAATATGAAACAATTTTATAACTATATATGAAACAACTTCATCAAAAAAAGTATTATATGAAACAATTTTACAAGATTAAACAATTTCATAAAAAATTTTTATAAGATTAAACAATGAAATCGACGGATGAGGGTGGTTTGCACGGTTTATACAAATTGGAGTGGTTTTTATTTGAGCGCTCCTCTCTCTCTCTCTCTCTCTCTATATATATATATATATGTATATGTAATGGGTTCGTTTGGTTTGGTTTGGTTTTGATAAATGAAAATTTCTAGGATGGTGAGAGACGGGTATTTTGGATTCAAAGACTACTTCAAATCATTGTGCGACACCATAGAGAATGGCAAAGATTTCTATCTCGTGGGGGCAGATTTCGCTAGCTATCTAGAAGCTCAGGTAAGCTGAGTAATTTTCCTAAATATCAAGTTTACTGGTTCTTACAACAAAACACTTGGTAAGCAGTTATTTTCAGTCGGTGCTTACCCAGACTGCACTCCGACTTGGTTACTACTTACCCAGTTTGTGTTGGTAAACGGTTTATACAAGTGCAGGCTGCAGTGGATAGAGCATATGTCGATAAGGAGAAATGGAGCAAGATGAGCATACTTTGTACTGCTGGCTCGGGAAGATTTAGCAGCGATCGAACAATCGAAGATTACGCAGAGAAAACCTGGGGGATCGAGCCTTGTAAATGCAACTCCTAATTCTTCCTTTTGGTGTTGTAATTGCAAATCATATTGTTGTTCAATAAAGTAGTTTTGATCTCTGTATAATTGGCATTATATATAGATCATGCATCATGGGCTTGATTGGACTTTTATTAAGGCCACACTTCAAAAGGTGAATCCTTTTCGGATCGAATCGGTATACTGAAAATGTAAAAATCCCCTTGTGGCAATGGAGGTTCAAATGCAATGACTCCGGGTTATCTGCAAAACAGGTTGTTGTGGTCGTCCTGGGATTAGTCGGCTCGCATAGCGGGTTGGATATCCAGGTTAATCAAAAAAAGAAAAAGAAAGTAAGGTTTGATTTTGACATATGAAATAGAATTTATGAGGAGTTTATTTAAGCTATGTTTAGCAAACTAGCTTAACCTAGTTGTTGGCTGAAAAACTAACAGTTGACTAATGAATTAGTTATATTTAGAGGTTGTTTGTTTACCTCTTAATAGTTCCATTAAGAGATAACATCTGAATTGTTAAGAGTTGAATCTTCGTTTGGTAAAAATTAGTCTGTCTCTTAAGAAAAAAACCCGATTCTGATTATTAACAACCCATCAAAGGACCCTCTGCTCCATCTCTGATTTTGTATCCAATCGTCCCTGTGGAATATCCCGTTGATAGGTTTAGCTTTTTGATTTTGAGTTTTGGTGATTCGGGTTTAGATTTTATTTGATTTTGGATTTGAGTTTGAGTTGTAGTGTTGGGGTTTAGATTTGATCTTAATTTTGATTTTGAGTTTTGGTGTGTGTTTTATGATGTACGGTGGTCGAAGGTGACGAAGTTGTATCTGTATCTGTTTCTAAGAGAGTCAGGGTATGACTAATATAACATTTTAATTTATTTAAATGAGAAAATGATAGAAAATGGAAAAGAACCAAAATACCCTTTACTTAACAGATATTCTTTAACGATCGTTAACGCTAGACTCCAAAACATGCTAAAAAAATGCATAGCATGACCTTTTTGTAATAAAAAATTTCCAAAGACGAAAATCTAGACAATTATAAAACCACATGGACCAAATCCGTAATTTACTCTTTAATCATTTGCAACATAAAGGCATCTTCTTAGGGCCCCATTTTGGCATGATGAAAAATAATGTCTTCTTTTTTGCTTCTTATCCCACTTTATCTTTCTTTTTCAATTAAATCATTTTTCCCCTAAAAATTTCAAAATTAAAACTATAAAAATAATGTAATTTCTACGATAACGATACAATAAAATCACGTTCGTATTTCGTTCATCGATCGTAAACTTCGAATTCTTAATCGATTTTGTGAAAAACGATCAAGGATGGTTGACAATCGACATTACACCACCGAGCCTATAAAGGAAGTACTAGACGAGGGCCACTTTTCAAGGCTCGTGCTACTTAATTGATGCGTAAGGATTTAAATATCTGTCGGTAACTGACCACACCAACCCACATGACTCGTAATTTAAGAGAGATGATGTTTCGACCTCAAGGTACAAATACTAGGCAGACAAATTGATGAAAGACTTCTATATTTTCATTATTGAACGTCCTATAAAATCTGTGTAGATCAAACTTGTTGTCTCAGTAGTTTTTCCTGCTGCTTATTCTTCTTGTTTGTTTTCTTTTTTTCCCTCATCCCAGCACAAGCCGGGATCTTAAGAAAAAACCGCTCTACTCTTTGGAGGTAGAGGTCAATGTTGTTTACATCATACTTTTACCCGATACTGATTTGAACGAAATATACTAAGTTTGTTTGTTTTAGTTTGGTTTATCAATTAGACTCCTTTGATTGGCATATATCATCTTATTCAATCAATCCCACTAATTTAGGATGCAATTGATTTTATTCTTGGGTTAATTAATTTGTGGGGTAACTAATTCCCGAAAAAAAATGGTGTTTACTTTTAAGTTTAAGTTCAATTTACTGATATAGTTTCAATTTTAAATTCAATTTTATTTTAGGGTTAACTTCATTTTAACAAATTATTGATATAGTTTCATTTCTATATTTAAGTCTGAAGAGTTATTCTTCAGAGATATTATTTAGAGTTATGCTTCAGAGTTATTTCAAGAGTACGAATCTGAAGTCATTTCTTTAGAGTTATTTCAAGAGTACAAGTCTGAAGTCATTCTTCAGAGTTATACTTCAGAGTTATTTCAAGAGTACAAGTCTGAAGAGTCATTATAAATTTACTTCTAAGTTTAAATTCAATTTACCGATATAGTTTCATTTTTAAATTCAATTTTATTCTAGGGTTAATTTCATTTTAACTAATTGTTGATATAGTTTCATTTCTAAATTCGAGTCTGAAGAGTTATTTTTCAGAGTTATATTTCAAAGTTATTTTAAGAGTACAAGTCTGAAGTAGCATCGTACTTTTGATGATCATTCACATCTGTAAGATAAGTTCTCTAACACTATTTAATTTTTTTAAATTACCCTATGTAATACATGAGATCAAACATAGTGTATATATATATATATATATATGTGTGTGTGTGTGTGTGTGTGTATGTATGTATGCATGCATGCATGCATGTATGTATGTATGTAGCGAAAGGGGGTGGGGAAGTGATTTTTCATTGAAATCACATGTGATTATGGCGTGACTTGATCCGGCGACTTTGGCCAAGACCTAGATTGTTAAGTCGTTTGCACTGTGCACACTCGCGTTGACCATGTTTTGTAATCCTATGTGATTTTCAGTGTAAAATCACATTTGATTTGGTCATTCTCGTGTTCTCTTATTTTGATTTTGATTCATTTAAATATTCATGTATATAGGGTCAGGTTCAAGGAAAAATTACAAAAAATTAAAAAATTGAGGAGCACCCTGATAATTATATACTCACTTGTACGGTAGGCACAAGTGCATACAAGTAATTTCTAAGCAATTTTTTCTATGTAACATTTACACGTACATAAAACCAAGAAACAACTATAATTACTTGTATGTACATGCACAAGTATCAGGGTATTCCTTAGTTTTTCAAAAAAAAATTGGTTTTTTCCTGAATCTCCCTATATATATGTAACGAAAAATCATGTGAGAATAGAAGTCAAAGTGAGAAGTATAAGAAGAGATTTGGACCATTAATCATTTTTAATCTTAAACCAACCCATGAATTATGCTTCAGAAAGGAGTTGATTGGATATACCTTCTTACACTTGAATCTAGTGTTTCACTTCAATTAGAATTGATCCAAAAATAAAAACTTCTTCTCACCATAACTTTTGTTCTCGACAGAATTCCAACACAATATAAGTATATATATATATATATATATATATATATATATATATATATATGGGCCTAATCAAATGAGAACCGATTACTTTGTGGTAACTGTGAGGTCCAATCTCAACCACAAATCAACGGATAAATTAGGAAATTAATAATTATGGTAGTTTGAGTTAAAATTATAATTAGAGGGCATATTAGGTATTTTTAAAAAACTCTTCTCTCCTCTCTCATCTCTCTGACCTCCAATCTGCTGCCTCCGCTGAAATCGGTATCATAGTATATCACAATGGGTATCACATTGTGTATGTTTGTTTTTAAGGTTTGAGTTGGTATCATAATTGGTATCACAATGGTATCACAGTATATCACAATGAGTATCACATTATGTATCTTTGTGATTACTTGGTACCTGCCGGATTAATGTTCACCGGAGGCCGAAGATTGGAGATTGGAGAGATGAGAGAAGAGAGAGGAGTTTTTTAAAAATAACTAAAATACCCTCTAATTATAATTTTAACTCAAACTACCATAATTATTAATTTTTTAATTTATCCGTTAATTTGTGGTTGAGATTGGATCTTACAGTTACCACAAACTAATCAGTTCTTCCTTGAATGGACCTCTCTCTCTCTCTCTATATATATATATGTATATATATATATATATATATATATATATAAGATCTTTATTTGTCCTTTTTTATTAAAAAAGAAAAAGAGTTGATTGAATTGATCAAGTATAAGAATTGATTTGTAATCCCAAAGTGATTAAAAAATGGATTGAAATTGGGTTCCGCAAATTACGCAACAAATTACAACCCGATTACCCAAGAAAAAGTGGGGGATAAATTAAATTGGTCAAACACAAAAGAGACTACATCTTTAATGCATTGCCCTCTTTTTTCCTTTTTTTTTTTTTTTTTTGCTTTCACTACAAATACTTAAAAATAATTTATTTAATATTTATGATATATAAATTAATTTTATAATTATATCGATTATATTTACGGGTGTTTTTGGTATTTGGATAAGACAAGACAGAATAAAAACATGACGATTATTCGGCATTTGTTAAGACATGACTGGTAAAATGATTAATTTAATTCCAATAAGTTGTATACATATTTGTTATATTTTGATTAATTTATGTAATTTATAATAAAATAAATATGTTTTATAACAAGATATATCATTAGAAAGTTTTTGTCAAAACAATTAAAATGAATTTTATTAATATTATAACTTTTTTATATTACTTTTTTTACAATATATAATCAATTACATAAATTAACCAAAATATAGAAAACGTATGAAAATAATATTTTGAGACCAGTAAAGTGAAGATAAATACAATAAATATAAATTTTAAAGAATGGATTAACTGTAAAGAGAAAGACGTATTTTATATTTTAAAAGAGATTTAAGTTTTATTTTGAGGGTATATTGGTATAATATATGCACCTTGTTCGATGGGCTGTGGATGGAACAAGCATTTTTCCACTTTGTTCCACTCTATTATTGTTTATTTCACATAAAAGTCATGTCAAACATGGAATAATGATTCATGTTCTATCATGTCATGTCTTGTTCAGTGTACCAAATATACCTTATACGTTGTTTATAACTATCTATAATATTCAGTTTTGAAATATATATCCAGATAAGCTTTTATATGCTATTTATTATTACGCATGATTTACATGTTTACCAAGTTAATGAATAACAAATTAAACGCATCACTTGATGAGATGAATTGTCGTTGTTTACCTACAACTACGAACTCATTCAGCAATAAGTTGACAAGTATTATGTTAAAATCCTCTTGTG